CCGGTCCAGGGTCCCCTCCCCGCCCGGCGCCACCGCTCTGTGTCACTCTGTGGGGCTGGCAGTGACATTCCTTCCAGTGGCACCGGTGAAGGCTGAGCTGGGGGTCATAAGGAAGCAAGAAATCATTTGCTTCCTACCCCATCCCTGCTCGGTGAAGGTCTCCCAGTGGTTTGTGGGATGCTTGGGTTTCCAAGGCTGATGAACCCCCAGCCCAGACCAGGACCAGGAGATTAGGTGGAGCCTGTTCTCCCACACTGGTGGATCCCCCAGACCCCTCACTCCTGCTCTGCCTCCCCCTCTCCCATGGTTTAAAGCCATAAAGGAAAAGCCACACTTGAAAGAAACACATCAAGTAACAGGAAATTAAATACAGTAATTACCTTGTTTTCTTTTTGAGGATACAAAGGTTCAAGTGTACTGTAAAAGGTTGGTGCTACACGGGAGTCCGACGGGTCAGGCTTGGCCCGGGCAGGACGGACAGGGACCCCATGGGCACGGGGGGATGTGCTGGGGGTGGGGGACACTGGTACATCATCGTGTGTAAATACAGCCCTAAACTACAGGAGAGATGCTACGAAACACTGGAACATGGAATGCACCCCAATGCACCCACATCCCTGGGAACCCCCAGACTGGGAAAGAGCCTGCTGAATCTGCCCTGGTGTGCGTGAGGGTGGTCCAGGTGGCCAAAGCCACGAGGATGGCAATGCCACTGCACCCTGTGCCTCACCGTGGTGCTGCCACATGGGACTGGCACTGGGACTGGCCCCAGGAAATCCATCCTTGGCATGGTGGCACTGGGGCCTGGGGAAGGCAGGAGCAGGCAGGGATCCAGCAGGGCATGGGTGCAGGAAAGGATCCCGAGGGGTGCCAGGGCAGGAAGGGATGCAGCAGGGCACAGGGGCAGGCAGGGGGTCAGGAGGGCAGAGGGTGTTTCACTAAAACTGAAACATTTCGTTCCCATCAGGGACCTTGGCCGGGGCAAATCCACATGGAAAACCAAAACTTCCACTGGAGCTGGGGTGGGTCAGGAGGGGATCAGGACAGTCCCCTCTGTCTTTGGCACACTTGCCATGGCACCATCCCCTTGGACTCAGTGCCTGTGAGGACACCCCACTGCTCACCTGGGGGGCCCAATGCCCCTCATCCCAGGGAAGAAGCAGAGGGAGACAGGATGGATGGAAGGCTTTATCCCTGCTTGGGGAGGAGCAGGATGGGGCTGGGCCTTGGGGCAGGAGGTTCCCATGCCATGGGGCTGGGGGGCTGCAGTGGGGAGGGGGAAGGTCTCTTATTGCTCTGTGCAGCCACACTGCCCATCACACACACACACATTGGGCCAGGTGCAAGCAGGGAAGGTGGGCAGTAGCAGGGGGTCTCTCCAGGTCCCCCAGTCCTTGCCTGGGCAGCCTCTCACCACTGGGGAGGGCAGGATGAGGCACTTCTCCTGCTGCCCACGCAGAGGTCTGGTGTGGACGGCACTGT